CTCGCTCTTGCTCAGGCTGGTCTCGAACTCCTGACCTCGAGCGATCCTCCCGCCTCGGCCTCCCAGAGTGCTGGGATCCCAGGCGTGAGCCACCGCGCCCGGCCTCAGACAGAATCTTGAGTGTGTGCCTAGCACGCCTCTAATGTGTGTTGGCATGTGACGTACGCATACTGCTCTCCTAATAACGTATGCGGTGTTAAGAATAAATAGATAAATTTTAAAAAGATGAAAAACACGGGGGAAAAAATGTGGGGGGCACCTCCCACCCCCACATCCCTCTTCACGGAGAACATGGACTGAAAACCTTTCTCAGTCCTGCGCACTCCTGTGGGAATCTAGTGGTAGCCGTGGACGCGCACACGGTGTCATTCTGTGTGTCATACTAGGAAGATCAGGGATCCCACCTACTTCAAGGCATGAGGTCCCCTCTTCGTGTGGGTGGTGGCCGGAAACAGGAGAGGAAATAGCGAATCCCCGTCAGATGACCCAGACAGAGTTTCCTGAGGGCCGAGCCAGGGCGTGGCGGTGGGCATGGGGACGGCTCCAGGCGCGGGACTGCAGAGGTGGAATCAGAAGGCCTGATTGCTGATGAGGGGGCAGTTCTCGCTAACGCAGAGAGTCCGTGCTCAGATTCGTCTGACCAAGTATGCGAAGACACCAAAGCCCAACACAGGCAACCTGCGGGATGCGGGGACCAGATTGAGGCCAAACAGGATGACTTTAGGGTCTTGGGGAATATGAGCATCTCCCCGTTGAATGGTCCTGGGGAAAAGCAGATGCTGACACTTGCCACAGCCGCATGGTGATTCACAGGCACCACGGTGTCTCGTTAAAGGCTCTGAGAAGGGCTGCACCAAAGACACCCGTTAAAGTCCTGCAGCCTCGTACTTTCTCCCCTGTTTGAGCACTGAATGTTTCCGTCAGGCAAGTGCGGATGTGGAAATTCTGGGAATTGCTAAGGTGTAGGCTACACTGGCTGGGGCTCCGCTGGGGCCTGAGGCTACCAGTGGTGGGAGAGGCCACGCGAGTGAAG